ACACTGACGCATCTCGCTGAGTTGACCCTCACCAGCAGGACGTAAATGTGGCATATTTCCCTTAAAACCTACTCGGGAACACAGGAAGTCTGCACAGATGCATGCGTAGAGGCTGGATGTGTAATTCTATTGTATTTGTGGAACAGTGAAAAATGACGACATGTGTTACACATGTAGTGAAACCCCGTCTCCATGTGGACGCCAGCCGCTGCACCCTCACGTTCCGTCCTGGGTGGGGTGCCGGTGGCCGCGGCCCCGGGTCGAGAGCAGCATCCGAGGAAGGGACAGGTCTGCCGGGCAGCGTGTGGGGCAGAGGGACACGGCACATCGCTAGCCAGACCCCAGGGACGAGCGCTCAGACAAACGGCCATGTCCCTTCCCCTCTGTGCCTCTGCCGACTCATCTGCCATGGGAGGGACAGAGCTAGACAACCCCACACCTGTAAGCCACGCAAGGGCGTCACTCAGTGCTGCTGACCTGCCGTGTTCTCCCAAAAGGAGGAAGGAGATTTGTGTTTGGGGCAGAATCTACCGGACGTGAACTGTGAAGTGTTTAGACAGACCTGCAGGCTTTGACTGCCGGGAACGCGGCCCCTGCTGGTGGGTGCTTTCTGGACAGTGCAGGACCCGGAGGGGCCCCCGTGGGACTCAACCGGAGGGAGGGAGCAGGCAGGTGACAACGTCCGGCCTTCTGTAATCGGTTCTGATGGGCGTGACAGCCTCATAAACCGAAGTGAAGCCGCAGCCTGAGCCGGTACCGACCTGAGCGGTCACAGGAGCCACGGTTGTCCCTGGGGGTTCACACGAAGCGCAGCTCTGAGCAGTGACACGAATGAGTGTGAATGTGTCTCCCGTTGGTCCATGGCGAAGTGTGGACGATGTATTGTGTGTAACTCTGTCCGCACTGGACACAGATTAAACAGTCTTTGTTTTTCTCTTTGCAGAGGAAGACGGCGGGGACCTGGTCCAGCCGGGCATCAGCTTCCCAGGGACGGAGGAGGAAGACCTAGGTAGGGAGCCCACTGCACTCTCACCATCATCACATGTGCTCGGCCGTCACCGCACACGCTCGGGCATCACCGCACACGCTCGGGCATCCCCACACGCTCAGGCACTGCCACACGCTCGGCCGTCAGCGCACGGCGGCAGCTGGCGACCCTCTCCACTAAAGTGTGTTAAGCATGTTTGACTGTAGAGGGTCCTGATGAGACCAAGTAAGATGTGAATTTTTTAAACAGTATGTACACGTTAAGGCGGCTACGGGGGCACATTTGCTCCGGTCATCCTGGGTTGGTGATTAGGGCGGTTATCGCCGTCACTGCCGTGTGACCACAGGTGGAATGTGCCTCTGCTCTTCCCTTTGTGACTAAATGTGCTCTGAGGAAGTCTAGGGAGCGGAGGCTCTTTCAGTTGCATTGTTTCGGGGACTCTATGATCAGACACCGAGCCGCCGCCCCCGGCGGGCCCGGCATACGCTGGCATGCTGAGCACGGTCGTGCTACCTTCCGAGGGCACCCCACCCATCGGGGGACGCCTTCCCCGGTCTAGTGAAGAGCACGTGAGGACTTTATTTCGTGCTGCCACTGACGGGAAGGATGGCGCCACACTTGGCCGTCATCGACGTGGAGCACACTTACATAAACGGGGCACTTCTTCTGTTAGAGACGGGAAGTGTTTAATAAACTCAGCATCCAAGAAGAAGTGAGAGGAGAGACACACGCGACCCGTGGGCCTGGCTCCTGTGCCGGGTCCCGATGGGGTCACTCATTCGCCGACAGGCGCCCGGCGCCTTGCTCGGGCCTCCGGTGGTCGCAGCTGGCCTAACATTTCGGGCTGTGTGATGGCCCTAAGTCAGTGTACATTTAAATTCAGATTTTTCCTCATTTACTTAAGGTTTTTAGCCAATAAGTCCATTGTCCACTTGTTTGGCTTAAAGAATAAAACTGAAAATCAAAGGAGTCCACTTATATAAAGCTGCAGGTTTTTTTAAAGACAATTAGAAACAAAAAGTTTGCTTTTCAGTTTAAAATTATGAAATCAGGTGCAGCTCTCAAAGAATGGCAGCATATTATCCAGTACAGTCGAGTTAGAAATTTATTCTAACTTTCTTTACATGGAAATGGGCAAATGACATGGTTTTGACTTCTTACTGGAAAGGCTTACCAGCTACCTCACTGGAGTAAGCGCGTACCGGTCTCGGTTTCACTCTGAAACGCTGTGTGTCTCAGTCCCCACTGGAGAGCAGGGCTGAAGAGGCCCCACGGGGGGGCGTTTCCCCGGGATAAAAGTAGCGTGGCCGCATTTTGTGCTGTGGCAGGAAATATCACAGCTGCGCCTGGAGTGCCAGCCCTCTGCGACAGTCTGTGCATCTCTGAGCTGTGTCTGTGTGTCCGCAGGGACGTGAGGCTGACACACCCACCCTGGGGTCTTGGGACAGTGCGGACAGGGCATCACCGCCTGCTCGCCTGCCCCGCGTCCTTTCTGGGGAAGTCACGACAGGAAGAGCTTAGGGCACCGCAGCAGGAGCCCAAAGCTGAGGTCCTGGGTCACTGGGAACGTGGTGCTACTGGGTCCCCACCACGGAGCCCCAGACCGCAGTCACACGAGGCGAGCTGAGCCTGGATGGAGGGGTCAGAGGCTGTCACGGTGGCACCCTGCAGTCTGGATTGTTCGGAGGGAAAGTACTTTTGTATTGTGGTGAAATATTCGTAGCACGAAACTTCCTCTTCTGGTTAACCATCTTTAGGTGCACAGCTCAGTGGCATTAAGTACGTTTTCATTGTTGTGTAGCCGTCACCACTGTCCATCCACGGACCTGTCCACCTTTCCAGACTGAACCTCTGCCCATTAAACATGTGCCACCTCTGGCGACCACGGTTCTGCTCTCCGCTTCTGTGAATCTGACTAGTTTAGGTTCTTCTCATGAGTGGGATCACCCAACGTTTGTTCTTCTGTGACTGGCTATTTCACTCAGTATGCTGTCCTCAGGTTTCATCGTGTTCTAGCACACGGCGGGATTTCCTTCTTTTTTGAGGCTGCATAATATTCCGTTGCGTGGACAGACACATCCTGTTGTTCCAGCCATCCGGTGATGAACACTTGGGTTGTTTCCACCTCGTGGCTGTTGCGCGTGATGCTGCTGTGAACATGGACACACAGGCGCCTCTTTGAGACCCTGCTTTAATTCTCTCGGGTCTATGCTTAGGAGAGGAATTGCTTGATCACGCGGTGATTGAATTTATAACTTTTTTTGAGGAAGCACTATAGCGTTTCTGGACAGAAAGTATTTAGTGAGCTGTTTCTACAGCCTGGTCATGAGGAGATGGCTGGTGGTTATAAGAATGAGAAGGAACAGTCAGATTGCTGAGGCTTTGGAAAGAAAGAAGCAAGAGGGTCTGGGGGTGCTTGGCTCTAAGGCGCTCTTGGAGGGGCTGCCTAGCTTCCGGCATTAGCCCCCCAAGGTTGCAGGGCAGGGGCGTGGGCAGCAGCTGGCGGCACAGCCGAGGGAGCCCGTCGGGCAGCACACTCCTTGGTTCCAGGGCTGTTAGGCCACTCATGGAAACATTCGGTCCCAACACGGGTCGCGTTAGTGGGTGTCTCCAGGGAGCATGGTCCCCACGCCCAGACATGCTGACCTCACTCCTCTGAAGTGGGCGTGGGCGTTGCTGCCTTTGGAAGTCCCAGGGTGGCTCTAAGGTGCCCGCAGCCAGAGCGCCAGTCTGAAAGGGTGGTTAATGGAGAGGTTACAAAAAGAAAGGGAGGAAACAGAAAGGGACGGAGCGGGGAAACCCTGAGCTACACTCCCAGTGTCATTACAAGAACGAGTCAGGAGCAAAGACCACGATTTTACACAGTTAGTTTTCCAATTTCCTCATCTCTAAATTAAGGGGGGTTAAAGTAGATGGGTTTTTAAAGACTCTTCCGAGCCTCAAGTTTATAATTTTCCTGCACCAAGTTAAAATTAAAAGCACTTTAGACTGGGGTTAATACTGTGAGCGTGGGATGAGTAATTATTTCCAGAATACTGCGAATGGTCTAAGCGTGCTGTCGGGTAAGTCATAAAGCCACGAAGCAACGTTGGCTTCCGTCCCATTCAAAATACCAACTTTTCCTCAGCTAGCCTCGGTCTCTGTCAAGGCCAAAGGAAAGGCGACATTGACTGAAAAACCTAAACTTTCCTTTAGTGATAGACAAATTAATAAGGTGGCCGTTTTGGAAATAAGGGTGTCACAGTCATGCCCGTATTGTACCCATTTCATTTTAAGGGCACACATACTGTCTGAAGCTCAGATAATATAATGTGTGAAGATAATTTTGTGATAAGTGGCTGTGGACTACAGGGAGATAAAAAAGGTTTCTGTAAAGGTAGCCTAAAGTCAGTGATAAAAGTGGATTAATGCAGCACATTCAAAATGACCACAATGGAAGAGGGAAAGCCACTTTCTCGGGAAGAAAAGTGCTGAGGGAAGACCTGCAGACACGCTCAAGTTAAGCTGCTCCCTGTAATTTTCCTGTGACATCGGCTTATGAGAGGAGACGCTATTTCTAAGGGAGGCTTTTTCTTCATTCTCACAAGTGTCATATTTAAGCCAGATGTAAAGAGTTAGAGGTTTATAAGCATTTATGAGAACTGTTACATTGACCCCAATTTTCACTGGTAAATCAATTGCAAATTGAAATTTTAAAAGAAGGCAAATTAAATGGTCAATCAAGGATATTAGGCACATATTATATGAGACACAGCAATGAGAAAATGGATGCACCGTGTAATTTAAAAAATACTTGAATATTAAAATAATACCTACCGACAGAGCCTTCTGTGGGGCAGGCACCTATACTGTGAAATATTTTTATATAGTACATTACATGGCATCGTTTTAAGGTCTGCACACCACTTAACTATAGCACGTCACGTAGTAATTATGATGCATAACTTATTTTAAAAGAACTCCCTTTTAGAATTTTATTTTTCATGCCCTTTGTAAACACCCCTGGCCACCTTGTAGACATGTAACTTTATAAATTGATGGGCGTCCTCACTTATTTCCTTGAGGTAAACGTCTAGAAATTTCCAGAAACTGTGGCAGCAGTACTGTGCAGTTTCTGTCTAGGCAGCAACAGTGATGGTTTACTGCATCCTTAGCGCCCCTCCCCCCGCTCCCTGCTGTTCTCCGGCATCTGTCCCGGGTCCTCCTCCACCTGAAACCTCCTCAGGACATCGTGCTCCCCCAGACTGCCGGTGGGAACTCGGACCCCATGGGGGGGGCCACCCTTCCAGCGTGACATCCGCCAAAGCCATTACCGCCTGCGGCAGAAAAGGCGGAGGGCCTGGCCTAAAGGAAGGGCAAGTGACAGGTAATCAAGGGAACGTCCCAGAAGATGCGTTTTATGTGGACAGTTTCATGGTAAACCTTGATTTCTACACAAACAGAATTAGCTTTTAAGTTACTAAATGAGGACGTTGGGATGTTTCATCTACGTTTCTGGGGTGGATCCCCTGGCTTTTCTCCTCAGTGTCAGCGCCGAGCTGCACAGTTGCTGAGCTGCTTGCTGCCAAATGAGTGATGGGACCTTCCCTTGGGCGAGCCCGTCCTGAACCAGCAGATTCTCAGTGGCTCATTCGTGCCTCGTGCACGCGGCCTTCGTCCCAGTCTGGTCGGCTGCAGTGACAGAATACCGTAGGCTGGGGCGGGGGGTGGGGGAGGCGTCTACACACCTGATTTATTCCTCACAGTGCTGCAGGCTGGAGACCCCACACGGTTCTGGCGAGGACCTCCCTCTGGTTCACAGACGGTCTCCTCTGTCCTCACGGGGTGGACGGGGGACGGGGCTTTCTGGGGCCTGTGTTGTAAGGACTCAAGATACTTGCAGAGGAACATTTGTCAGCGTATACGGGCTTCGGTGACAACGCGTGAAGTCTTCATTTCGCCCTTCGAAGCTGCTCCTCCTGAAATGACAATTGCTCTGCAATAGCGGCTGAAGCCAGCAACTTTCAAAATAAGCATGTGAG